GAGCAACAGAAAAAACATATATTCAGGAGTGACCTGTAAAATGTGTGGCCAATGAACAGGGATAAATAATGCCTCCATTAGCAATACTACTAACAAGATGCAGGGACCATTAATCTGTGAAAGGTAGCTAGCCATGTAAGAATAACGACGGGCACTCTAAGAAGTTCCCAACCCCAGTAGCAATCATGCACATTTTCCCTCATTTAACTGTTGGGCACAACCAGAATGTATTGGCAATACCACACTTGACACTTTATTTTGTTAATGGAAGCAACACCAAATCAAATGAATAGACCAATTTCATGTTGGATAAAATCGAAGCCAACAACTAAAGATGGCAATGCTAGGTCGAATTCATGGATATAAGTTAAAATTCTCACGCGCGTGCTAAGAGCAACACTGGAACTCTGCAAGGGCACAAATATCTGCATTGAGCGATTTTGCTAGCAGGGAAGTTGGCTTGCTAACCTCTTTGTTGCCACCGCAATTGAAATATACATTATATATCAGGTATTAATTATCTGAAAATGAAGTCATAAAAATATATAAAAACCACGAATTTTAAAACAGTTCAAAATATGAAAAGTTTGGTCAAAAGTGAAAAAAGTTTGTCGATTGTGAGAAAAAGTTGATGGAGTTTTTAAAAAAGTTCACGATTTTGAAAAGAGCTCATTTGATTTGAAAAATAATTCTCATCGAATTTGCAAAAAATTTCATCAATTTTTGAAAAAAAATCATTGATTTTTGGAAAAAGTTCACTGAATTTAAAAGAAAAAGTTCATCCAATTTGAAAAAAGTTCATTGAATTTGTAATCATTTCATCGCATTTGAAAAAAAATCAAAAATTGAAAACAGTTCATCATTAAAAAAAGGAATAAATTTGATGAAAAAAACTGAACAAGCATTTAAAAAAGAAAGAAATAAGAAATAAGAAAACCCGAATAAAACCGCCCTGGAAATGTCCAGTGAACGGGGAAAAACCCGGCTACCAAAGGACCCACGACTGAAGATACAAATAAAAATAGAAAAGCAAGTTAAGAAGCGTAGTCGTTCGATAGCCTAGTGGTAACTGTGTTGGCGTCGATGCAACTGATCAGGCTCCCGTTTGCGAAATTACCTATAACGGGCTAATATATCCTAGTAGCTTATTAGACCCGATCTAACTTGCTAACCTCCTTGTGCATTTCTGAATATGAAGCCATGAGAACAGTCGTAGAACTGATCATGGCTTGGCTGGTCCTGGTGTCACTGAAGATTTGTCGTAAAGATCATGAACTCTAATGTCGCCATGCATGGGTATGGTTCAGATTGACTTTGAGAGTGTGCTAGCTTGTTGCTGATGACAAGTAGCTGGATCTGATCTTCAACTTGAGGTGCTATCCTCCTTGTTCTTTTACCCTTCAAAACCAGATTTTACCACCACCATACCTGGCTTGCAATGGCAAGGAAAACTGCTCATTCTTTTTGAATCGACCCTGACATAGTAGGATATTCACAATAAGAACTAACTGGGAACCCACCTGGCTAGTAATCGATGTGGATCTAGACCTATGATAGCGTCCTCATTGTGCGCTTGAGGATATCAAATCACCAAAAGAGTGTCGTGGCTTGTTGAGGGTATGGAATGCCAGTCATGTTGCCGAATCCGTCTCAAGAGGCAGCTTCAGGATATGGGATGATCAAAATAGTGGCATGGGTTGATCAGAGAGAGCAGATGTGTTGATCAAGTCAATGTGGTTGGGGTTGAAGCCTATGTGGGTTGTCCCCAGCATGTTCTCTGATCTGTGTATGTGATGGCTGGGCCGTGCATTCTTTTTGTGCACGGCTACTAGAATTGGCTTGCTGTTGCTGGAGCAACTAATTCTATAAGATGTGTGAGAATGTTTTGAAATCTCTGTATTTGTTTGCCATTTGAATTTTGTTTTTTGGGTGTTGCAGCAGGTCTGGTTTTGGCCTCTCATTCGTGCGCTTTTCTTCCGAGCATTCCAATCAAGATTTTCTTCCAACTTTGCCACTCTGAATGTTTGTCTCCTAAGAATCCTCTGTCTTTCAGTCAAATTATGAGTTGGACTATAAGTTGTCTAATTATGAGTTGTCTTTCAGTACAATTTTGCCACTCTGAAAGTTTGGAAACCATCTAGTTATGAGTTGTCTTTCAGTCAAATTTTGTCAACCCTCCGTCTTTTGCATCAGCTAGGTTCTGGGAATTACAGAGCTGGATATAACCTTACCATTTTGTATCTCAGATGTGCTCCCTGCACTGCTGAGTTGGACTATTTCATGCTTTTATTTTTATTACTTTTTGTAACCAGTTCCAGAATGCTTCCTGCTGATGATTGGAAAATTGAACTATATATGAAGAGGCATATATCTACCCACATATACAGAAATACAATATATAAGCAGACTGTACATGTTTATGAGAGAACCTGTGGCGATCGTGTTTCGAACATGTGAAGATACTACAATTTTTTTTTCAAACGGAGGCAAAAGAATTGCCTCATCGATTAATTAAGAAGAAGAGAATTGCCCGGTTAATGTACGGAAAACCGGGCTAAAACCGATACAATCAGACCATAATTGGGTTACTCACCAATCATGACCCCACAAGCACTCGTGCAACCCGCCAAACCTTACTAACACGCAATAACTCCTCACGCTTGTACACCACAATTTTGAACCCGACAAGAACATCCCAACAAAAGATAGTGGACCACACCGAAACCACATATGACGACCCAAACCATGAGGATGAGCCGAGGGACCGGGAATCATCCATTAAGCAGCTGCGGGCGCGGCGCCACTCTTTTTGCCTTTGCACCTTGGTGGCTTCTCCTTCACTATACCAGACCGAGGGCAATCACTCACCTTCTTGTATTTGCCCTTGAATGCCGTTCCCGTCAGGAGGCAAGCAATCGCCCTTCCAGTTCCAGGGCTAACAGTCTCCACGCTAGCGAGCAAGTCACAAAGCTCTTTTGCAAAGAGAGCATTGGAATTATCCGTCAGCGGGGGTGGAATGGGTGCAGAAGCCACATGTGAGTGCACAGCCGAGTTCACCTCACTTGACTCACATGTCAAGGTTGAATCATGTCCCTCACACGTGGTTGCTTGCGTGTCCACCATCATATGCTCCACTCATAGAGGCGAATCAGAGCTCGCACATAACACTTGAAGATCGGGCATCACCTGCAGCACCGGAGGCACAACCACGGGAATGGTCCCGCCCTCAACGGTAGACATCACAGTGGGCAAGGCAGACGGCGATGATGAGTTGTCCATAGCTCTAGGGGAGAAACAACCATAGTGCTCCCCAACTCTGTTCTCCACTGAGCCACCAACATCAACCTCACTAGGAGGATGTGGCGCAGGAGCGGATTGCAACACAGACGGCACAAGAGAGAGCTTTCCCAGAGCAGCCTCCGCTCGCTCCAGAAAGCTCCCAACGCGCACCAGGAGTTCAGCCTGGGCAGCTAGAGTGGACTGGAGCAGCACATCAGATGGGGTTGCCGACTCAATCTCTTCATGATTAGTATCTCTTGAAAAGGCTTTCATACAAAAGAGATCCCATGCATCGTCCTCTGGTAAAGCTTCCAGTGTTAAAATATTTCGTCCAGAGGCAAGTGTAGCAACATGGCTTTCTCTTGTTGTTATTATCAGTCTACTGCCTTTATGATTACAAATAAGTGCTCTAGATATATCATGAAATGCTTCTGCAGTCCAAACATCATCCAATATGATCAAATACTTATGTTGCATCAGAAAAAGTTTTAGTGTCTCTTCAAGGCGTGTGATCTCCATGGTCGCTGTGTCAAACAGAACACCGACTTTATCTTTGAAAAGTTCCTTGACTATATTCCGTAAGACATCTTCTCTAGAATAAGTTTGTGAGATGGAGACCCATGCGTGGCACTCAAATTTCTCTCTCTCTTTCTTGTAGACATTTGCAGCCAAAGTTGTTTTACCAAGCCCTCCCATTCCAAGCAGCGCTATCACATTGCGTTCCAAGTCATCACCTGCCAACCACTGCTCAAGTTTTTCTCTGTTTTTATCCACCCCAACTAGTTCTTCTTCATCAAGGGAACGTGAAGCATTTGCTAGATCTTTGGACCTCTTGACAATGTAATTCGAGCTGCTAGTATCCCCACTGTTCATCATGGGAATCCAACGTTTTTTTGTCTCAGACAGGTGAGTAAGGTCTTTCTCTATTTCCTTCACCTTGACAGCAATCTGGTTAATGGAAAACAGAGATCTTGATTTTCTGAACCCCCTTTTCAGGTAAAAGCAAGACCCTGTATCATGTTTCTGTCCTACTAGATACAAGTACTCATCCACCATGTCCTCCATCACATGTGCTACTTTCCGCACCTCCTCCAACCAGCCGTCGTATACTTGATTGTCGCGGTCTCGAATGTCCATGTGACAGAGAACATCATGCATTATGCGGAGCTCCCTTGCAACACGACCCATACTGCCCTGTAGCTCCAATAGCTGTGTCTTGTACTTCGCAAAGTGCACACTGACATGGTCTGCCGCTCTACTTGCCAAGGCGATTCCGATCTTTTTAATGGCTAGAAGAATCACAATCTCCGCCATTACTTTCTGTGAATTGCTAATTTATCACTGTTGGATGGTGGCCTAGCTGTATAGTATCCTCAATATTATCAGAATGGCCACTGCGATATGAAATACATAATGCATCAGTAAAAGGATCAGTGAATTCTGCTACTACCAAGCACTTGCCAAAACGATTGAAAGCTTTCCAACCACAATTGAACATGAAAATAAGTAGAACATTTCCAAGAAATCCTCCTAAAGTCTTATTCCATATTAATAACCTATCTAATATTAACCCACATAATCAAACCAAACAGCTCTTTCAACATGCATGTCTATGAGAATTTCAGAACACTTGTGACTGTACTATAGTCAACTGTGGCAAACTTAATGTTATTAACTAACAAGAGCCAGTGACACTTGACCAAATAACCAATCATGCATGTTCCTCCTCCCTATAGGGATAAGGTTAGGTTAAAATGCACGAAATGTTGAAATTTGAACCAAGAAAAAGAGGAAACGAATCAGCTCCCCAATATGCATATTCAAATTTCAGAAAGTTGGCTAGTGACAGTTTCAGGTAACTTAGCATATTTCCTTGAATCTTATTAATATCTCCAGATAACATAACATACAAGCTCTGCTTCTGTATAGGTACATCTCAGGTAGTTCTTGTCACTTGCATTCACATCTAGGTAGGACAAATAGCGCATCTGAACTAGAGATTCACTAATAAGGCCACAGTAAATTCCCTTCACATTCCATAACCTCAAGCTTCTCATTTGCCTCAGCTCCCCTAAATGCCTAACAGACTCATCTTGTGCTTCCAATGCTTGCAATGTCTGCAGATTTGTTAGATTTCCAAGACCATTGGGGATACATACACCACTGCGACATTTAAGCTCTCTCCCTTCTGCATCAAGTACTATCTCAGCAAATAAGTGCCTCAGCTTCTTCAGCTTCACAATCCCACTAGGCAGCTCATGTATACCAGATCTACAAAGGTCCAGTGTCAACAAATTAGAAAGCTTCTCTACAGACTTTGGGAGCATCTTCACCTTTGAATCACGCAAACCCAAATGGCGGAGATTAAAAAGATCTCCAATAGCATCTGGAATCTTCTCGACAGGTAGACCACTTAACTCTAGCACTGTCAAATATCTTGACTCCTTACATAGCAAAGGTATAGTGGTCGATGGCATACTATTGCCCAGTGTAATTACTGTACGAAGTTGGTGTATACCAGATATTTGCTGATGTTTGTGGAGTACCAATCGTCGCCCATCCATCTCAAGAGACCCCCCAGACTCATCCTCATAAGTAACACCAAAACAATTCTTCTTGCACAAATCAACTGCCAGTTCACGTAAGAGATCGTGCATTTTGAATTTCTTCATCCTACCAAAGTGGTTCCTCTCAACAAGTTGTAGCATGTTTCTGTCAGTCAACTCCTTCAGATAGCCTTCTGCCACTTCTTCTAATGTGCTTCCACCCCTCTCCTCGATGAACCCCTCAGCCATCCATAACCGTGCAAGTTGTTTCCTATGTAAAAGATAGTCTTCTGGAAATAGACTGCAGTACAAGAAGCAACTTTTCAAATGTGTTGGAAGGTATATGAAGCTCAGGTACAAAATATTCCTTATGTGGTCAAGCTTCGAATTATTAATCAACTCCCAACTCAGTTGGTCATCTAATCTTCTCCATTCTTCGATGGTTTTCTCACGCACACGCAAGAGGCTGCCAATTGACACAATAGCAAGAGGCAAGCCTTTGCACTTGCCAACTATTTCCTCGGACAATGGCTTCAACTCTGTAGGACATTTATGATTTGTATCTCTTGGAAAGGCTTTCTTACAAAAGAGATACCATGCCTTGTCTTCGGGTAAAGCTTCTAGTGTTAAGATATGTCCTGGAGAGGCAAGTGTGGCGACGCGGACTTCCCTTGTTGTAATCATCACTCTACTGCCCCTATCATTATGAGTAAACATCCTTGACAAATCATGAAATGCTTCTGGATCCCAAACATCATCCAATATGATCAAGTACTTCCTTTGCTCCAGATATTTCTTTAGTGTCTCTTCAAGGCTAATGATGTCCATATCCAGGGTGCTAGATAGAACACTGACATTATCTTTAAAAAGTTCCTTGGTTATATTTCTCAATATAACTTCTCTAGAATAAGTTTGAGAGATGGAGACCCAAGCATGACACTGGAATTTCTCCCTCTCCTTCTTGTAGACATTTGCAGCTAAAGCAGTTTTACCAAGACCACCCATTCCAAGAAGGCTTATCACAGAGCATTCCAGATCATCACCTGCCAACCATTGCTCGAGTTTTTCTCTGTTTTTATCCACCCCCACTAGATCTTCTTCATCAAGAGAGCGTGAAATGTTTGCCAGATCTTGGGATCTCTTGACAATGTAATTTGAGTTGCTTGCATTCCCGTTGCTTATTGTGGGAACCCAACGGTTTTTTGTATCTGACAGGTGTGAAAGGTCTTTCTCTATTTCCTTCACCTTGGAAGCTATCTTGTTCAAAGAAAGCAAAGATCTTGGCTTCTTGAAACCCTTCTTCAGAAAGAAACAACAACCAATATCATGTTCCCGGCCAACAAGATACAAGTACTCATCCACCATGTCCTCCATCACATATGCTACTTTCTGTACCTCCTCCAACCAGCCCTCATATACTTGATTGTTGCGACTACGAATGTCCATTTGACATAGAACATCATGCATTATGCGAAGCTCCCTACCAACACGGCCCATACTGCCCTGTAGTTCTAGTAGTTGTGTGCCATACCTTCCAAACTGTACGCTGGCCTGGTCTTCCGCTGCCTTTCCCAAGGCAATTCCAATCTTTCTAATGGCTAGAAGAATCACAATCTCCGCCATTACTTTGAGAATTGCTAATGTCTTTGTATAATCAGAATGACCACTGTAAAATGAAGTGATACCTTAATTATAATAAAATAGTGAAATTCTTCTACTAGCAACTACGAAGCACCTGGAAAAACACTTCAAAACTCACCAAACACTTGCCATAACACTTAAAAACTCACCAGCCACAATGGAAAAGTAAAATAAGTAGAACTTTCCCATGAAATACTACTAAAGTCAAAATTCATATTATTAGCTTATCTAATTCTAACCAAGATAGCCAAACAAAATTAACTCTTTCGATAGGCATGTTCATGAATTTTAAAACACTTGAGACTGTGCTATAGTCAACTATGGCAAACAGAATGTTATTAACTAGCAACAAGAACCAGCAACACTCCACCAAATAAACGCTATGTATGTTTCTCTTCCCTATAGTGATATATTAGGCTAAAACACCTCAAGTGTTGGAATCTGAACCAAGTCAAAGAGGAAACCAAACTGGCATACCTGGCAGCTTGCCAATATGCATATTCTACTTCCAAGTAACTTAGTTCAATATTTCCCCAGATGTATGGAGAGACTAATAGCTAAAGTTGTTGATTAAGATACAAGAAAGGAAGTTGTAGTGCAATCAAGAAATGTATAATAAAGCAAAACTATAGTGTCATAGATGTCATTAGGCAAATCAATATGTACTCCCATGATTACAGTGACTCCAATTAAAAGGAGCCATCAATTTTGGAATCCTCACACAACAAGAATGTTCGTTTTATGAGGTAGAATTTCCCACAAGAGCATATGAAAATTTCCAATATATTGTATCTTCAATGCAAGAGCATTATCAACAACGATGTTAGAGATTAATTCTAGATATTTTGGCTACCCAGGAAAACTATGGATGGCAACTAAAACCTGAACATACATACATGCCAGCTCACCAGACCTTGGCACTGACAAATTAAGCTCGTCCTTTTCCAGAAGAAATCTTATTCTGTTTATGTTGTCGTAAGAAATCGGAATGTGTCACCCACAAACTATACTAGGTTTTCCAAGTTCAAACTATACAACAGAAGTGAATTTTATTTGCACCGAGGAAGATTAGTCTGAGTGCAACCTAAGATAGGAAGGAAAGTAGTGAAGGATGATGCACTTGCCTTGTTATGGCTTAGATCTGATCGATCTTGGTAACCTCCTTGTGCACTTTCGAATCTCAAACCACCAGAACAATCTTCTCGTAAAAAGAAAAAGAAGAGACTTCATGGCTCAACTGGTCTTGTTGTCATTGTAACTTGATTATAGAGATTTTGAAGTGTCATGGAGTCATTGGCATGATCAGAGAGTGTGCAAGCTTGTTGCTGATGACAAGTAGTTGGATCTGATCTTCCTCCTTGTTCCTTTTATCCAGCAAAACTAGAGAAAAACATGGCCAGGAAAACTGCTCAATTTTTGCATCAACCTAGTTAGTATATTAACAATAGAGCTAGTAACAACCAAATTAAGGGTAACGCACCTGGATTGTAATCGGCGTAGATCCGGCTAGATTTGGACCTATAGGAACCTGCTTGTGTCATCTGTCATGGCTTGGTGAGTGGGTAATGCTAGTCTTGTTGTTGAAGCCAGAGAGCCTGCAAGTAAAGTCAAGTTGATGCTAGGCTTGTAATCAAGTTAATGGTAGTCTTCTTGTGATTGCATCTCAACTTTTTATTTTCCATAGAATCTAAAAAAACAATGTTCCCTATGGTCCCCATGCATAAGGATGATTTATGGCATGCATTAGGACAGCACAGAGCAATAGCTTTAACAGCCCAGCTGATGTGCAACCAAGGATTTCTACTTCACTATTCTGCTGTTGGACCTTCCCTATGGGCTCTCTTTTTGTTGTGTTTTTACCAAGGTGGTAACCTCTGGGAGAAGATTTAGAAATACTGAAACCTCAAAATGATGTGATGGATGGCAACATTTTAAGACTTTAAGCATATGAACATACATTGCATGTGTTGCCAACCTCAAAAAATACAACTTGAACATATAGGCAATACCACACTTCACATCTTGTCTCGTTGGTGGAAGCAACACCAGATCAAATAAATAAATTTACTTGTCTTACGCTGGATGATGCTTAATTAAGATCGAGGCCATCAATATATACTAAAGATAATTCAGTTCAGATTTAGTGACATTAAAAGTTCAAATTATCACCCATGTCCTACGAACAGCGCAAAATGGGCGTGGTTATCTGCATTGACAAGAAAACTAGGAAGGATAACAAATTAAGGGCAATGCACCTGAGTTGTAGATGTAGAGCCAGACAGATTTGGACTTGTGGTGCGCTTCAAGATTAAGACACCAAAGCAGTGTCATGGCGTGGTGAATGGGGTATGCTAGTCTTGTTGAAGCCTTCAACAACAAGAAAGAGAACATGCAAGTCAAGCATATGCTTCGCTTGGTGAGTGGGGAATGCTAACTTGTTTGTAAATCAATCAAGAACCAGACAGAGAACCTGCAAGTAAAGTATATTCTAATCTTCTTGTGGCTGAAGCTCAATTGTTTTCCATTTTTGAAAGCAGAGCACTGCACCTGTGTGCACATCACTTCTGACGCTGTGATGAATTAAAGGTATTTTATGGATCGTTACATTTTAAGAATTTAAGCACATGCACACATAGTGCATGTGTTGTATTTTGATCATGGGGAGCAGTAGCATGAATAATTACAAGGGGGTTTCTGAAGCACCCACTATTAAGCATTAAGGCTATATTCAGACACAACACATGCTGACCAGGAACTCGCTGTTGATTTTCCATAACACAAATACCATGTTCATGCTGACCAGCGACATGATTGCTGCCAACTTGAGATGAATTATATGGAAGGTGTTAGATGTGTATAGTCCCTTTTCGGTATATCCCCATTGTATAAGGGGTTTTCTGCACTTTGACACACATGTATATGTAATGGCCTTTGGCCCTCAGGAAATACTAGTTGCTCATTATTCAACATGGTATCAGATGCCAGGTTAGCCTCTCGCTCCCGCACGATGCAACTCCGTGCGTCTCGTTCCTAGCCTGCTTGTCTCCGGCCGTCCGGCCGCTGCCACTCCAGCCGTCCGACTGCTGCCTCTCCATCTCCGCTCTTCTGCTCCTCCAGTAGGAAGCCATCTCGCCAGGCCGTCGCGTTGGCTGCTCCGTCCCGCAGCTGCCCTGCGTGGCCGCTGCTCTGGGCCATCTCGCCCGACTGCCCCAGCCCTGGCCGGCCGGCCTTCCCGTAGCCCTAGCCCGTCCAGCAGCTGCCCTGCTTGGCCGCTGCTCCGGGCCATCTCGCCCAGCTGCTCGTCTGGCCGCTCCGGAAGCTGCAGGGCCGCCCCCTCGCCTGGCTGCGGGGTTGCTTCCCGCTGATCCGGGAGCTGAAGGGACCACCCAGCCTCGTTCGGGGCTGCTTGTTTGGCCGCTGCGGTTGCAGGCTCTCGACCCCTCTTGGATCGATCCTCCCGTGAGCGAGCGCTCGATCCAGGGATCCCCTCGATCCCTCCTGATCTCGATTGGGAATCCCTGTTCCCGTTGACAAAAAACAGAAAAAAACAGAAGCATCAGAGAGACTTTCTCATGTCTTCTTTGGGCTATGTAGCTGTCCCCCGGTGCTCGGTGATCTTTGATGGCACCAACTATACTGAGTTTGCGGGCTTCATGCGTATCCATATGCGCGGTCTTCTGCTCTGGGGTGTTCTGTCCGGCGAGGTACCCTGTCCGCCCTGCCCTGTTGCTCCGGTAGCTCCTACCCCGCCAGTCCCGCTGGTGCTTGCTGCTGATGCTTCTCAGGCTGATAGGGATGCAGCCAAGGCTCTTGATGGTGCTGCAGTTGATGCCTATGATCAGCAGGTATCCGCCTATTCTGATGCTCTATCTATCTACCGGGATGATCTGTCTGCTTACACTCAGTAGTGCAATGATGATGCTTGAGCTGCTGTCGTTCTCACTGCGAGTGTCCTCCCTCAGTTTGCTTCGGAGTTCATGGGCCTCGGCACTGTTGCAGCAATGTGGTCCTATCTGTGTTAGCGCTATAAGCCCTCAGGCGATGCTCTATACCTCTCTGTGGTGCGTCAGGAGCATGCTCTTCAGCAGGGTGACTCGTCTGTTGATGAGTTCTATTCACAGTGCTCTGCCATCTGGCGTCAGCTTGACTCACTGCGGACAGTTGTTTGTGGAACTTGCCGTTGCTGTCAGACTACGCGGTCTGGCTTGGAGTTTCAGAGGGTTCATGAGTTCTTATCTCGTCTCCGCTCTGAGTTTGAGCCTCGCCGTGCTCACTTGCTTTCTCGTGGTCATGTTCCTATCTCAGAGATACTTGCTGAGCTTCGTGCCGAGGAGACCCGCCTTCGCTCTACTGGGTTGCTCCTGGTTCCGTCAGTTTTGGCTGCTCGGGCTCCTGTGTCGTCTGCTCGCCTCACTGCTCCGCCGCTCCTACCCACTCCTCTAGGGGGGTGAGCCGTCCTCCTTATGCTGAGAAGGGCACGTCACGCCGTGACACCGTCTATGGTTACTGCTCCCGGCCAGGTCACCCAGAGTCTGATTGTCGCCAGAAGAAGCGAGACCAGAGGCGCTCCTCCTCCAGCGGGCCTCCTGTGTCTTCCTCGGCTCCGTCACTTACTGATCAGGACATTGTTCACCTCAAGCGTCTTCTTGCTTCCTCAGGCTCCTCGTCGACTGGCTCTGCTGCTGCTGTGACTTCATCCTCCTCCTCCTCGTCATCACAGGCATCTACACAGTCAGGTACATCTTCGTGGGTTCTGGATTCTGGAGCTTCCTTTCATATGTCTTCTGATTCTTCCGCGTTGTCTTCTCTCCGACCTCTTGATTCGCCTGTCAATTTTCTTACTGCAGATGGCACATCTCTTCCTGTTGCTAGTCGTGGTATTCTTTCCACTCCATCTTTTTCTGTTCCGAGCGTTTCACATGTTCCTCGCCTTACCATAAATCTTTTTTCCGCTGCCCAACTTACTGATTCTGGTTGTCGTG